TATAAAATGCATTATTAAAACTTGGCCTGTTTCTTTTACCTTTTTAATGCAGTTATTGTGTGTGTATATTCTTAGTCGTTTGGTCATGTCTGACTCTTTGTGACCCCGTAGACTGTAGCCCATCAGACTCCTCTGTCCACAGGATTACCCAGGCAAGAATATTAGAGTTGGTTGCCATTTCCTCCTCCAGGGGATCTTCCCCACCCAGGTATCAAACCTGTCTCTTGTGTCTCTTGCATTGGCAGGCAGATTCTTTACTGCTCTGCCACCTAGGAAGCCCAATGTGGCTAGTAGAAAATTTAAAATTGCATTTGTGAGTCACATTTGTGCTGAATATTGTATTTCTCTTGGGCAGTGCTACTTTAGTGCTTGCTTCTTCACCAAGGACACTGCTGCTGCTGCCAAGTTGCTTAAGTCGTGTCCGACTCTATGCGACCGCATAGACGGCAGCCCAGCAGGCTCCCCCATTCCTGGGATTCTCCAGGCAAGAACACTGGAGTGGGTTGCCATTTCCTTCTCCAATGCATGAAAGGAAAAGTGAGAGTGAAGTTGCTCAGTTGAGTCTGACTCTTAGCGACCCCATGCAGCCTACCAGGCTCCTCCAACCATGGGATTTTCCAGGCGAGANACAAGTCTGTTCCATACATCTGAGTCTCTTTTTCTGTTTTGCATATAGGGTTATCGTTACCATCTTTCTAAATTCCATATGTATGTGTTAGTATACTGTATTGGTGTTTTTCTTTCTGACTTACTTCACTCTGTATAATGGGCTCCAGTTTCATCCACCCCATTATACTTCTGACCCTTTTTAATGAGCTTTCCTTTTCTCACCAAGCATTAACTATACATGGCTAAAATAAAGAGTAGGAAATGTGATCTTTTCACTAATATTCATGCCAAACAAAGTCAGGGTTCTGATGCTATCAAAGTCAATGTCAAGTCAATAACAGCAGTATCAGACATGTTATCCATAAATCTCAACTTTCATTTTCTTTTGATTATTGGGCAGTATTATCAGGCATCCTGACTTGAAGGAAAAAACCCACAAGTACAGAAATTTTATGTAAATTTTCTTTAGTTTTTTTTTTATGTTGGCACCTAATTCAATTTAAAGTTTTTTTATTTTGAAGTAGTTTTGGGCTATGGAGTAATTGCAGAAATAGTACAAAGAGTTTCTGTACACTATTCATCCCTAATGTTAACATTTTATTTAACCATAATACAGTTGCCAAATACAGGATTTAAAAATGGTTTAAGGAGGTGTGTCTGTGGATATAAAATTAGGTACAAGACTATAAACCAGGAGCTGGCAAGCTTTTTCTGTTAAAGACTAGAGAGTAACTCTCTGAGGTATCTGCCAGTACTGTGTAGCTCTGTCATTGTAGCACAAAAATAGTCATAGACCATATGTGGAAAATGAGAGTGTGTCCAAACTTTATTTCAGAAACAGGTGGCAGACAAGATTAGGTCCATGGGTTGTGCAATGTGCCAACACCTGCCATAAACCAAGGTACAGACCCTATTTGATTTCATCAGTTTTCTCATTAATGTTTTTCTTTGTTCAATACAAGCTCCCAAATCATATTTAGTTGTCTCTGCAATCCCCTCCAGTCTAACAGTTACTCATTCTTTTCTTCTCTTTCATGCACCTGACACTTTGAAGTATGCTAGTCAGTCATTTGGTAGAATGGCTCGCAATTGTCTGATGGCTTCTTGAGATTAGGCTGAGATATTATGTGTGATTACAGATACGAGTATGGGCATGGGTTACTATACATACATATGTTTCTTGACTCTGTCCACTAAGAATGTCTAAGTTCAGTGGTCCTCAAATAGCAAAAAGCATACACAGCACTCAGATCCTTGATTTTTCAACAAAAAGCCATTTTCCAATAAAAGAATCCTGAGCTCTTTGGAGAAGTAGTTGGTTCTGTGGCTGGGGCGGGGAAAATATGAAAATTGCCTGGAATGTGTGTGTTTCTGGAAAAAGAATAAGAGCATGTCAAAAGGACATATGAACAAGGAGGAGTTCCAAAGGGCCAAAACTGGGACTTTGTGAGCAACATGATATATAATTAAAGTTTTGGATTATAACTTGTGAAATGAAATAAGTATTCCTGACTCCTTGGTGATATAAATAACTACATAAATAAATGAGGTGATGGGATACTCTCTTTTATGAAAGAATTCTAATTAATAAATAGCATTGATTACATTCTAGTGGAAGAATGAAAGAGAAAATTACCCTTAGGCAGATACCACAGTGATAATTGTTGCAGACACAATCCACTTATAGATACAAAAACTAAAGCTGGTGGAGGATAGGATATTTGCATAATCTCAAGGTTTAACTCCTAAGATATTTATGAATTACAAAGGAGCAGGGAATAGTTATATTTCACTAAGAGGCAGATATACCTTAACCTAATGATCAAGGTTAACATCACCAGTAATAAGACATAATATTATGTACCCCTGTTTCAAATATTTTAAACATCAGTTTGGTTAAATAATGAGATTTTGCATTTACATCTCAGTTTGCAGTGTCTACCATGGAGTGTACCCCTGACAATACTTGATTTGCCAAAGCTTAAAAAAAATTTTTTTTTAATAAATTGAATTTTCTTGCCTCTTAAGAAAACACGGTATTTCCTTCTTAATTCAAAAAAGTTGAAGTATGACTCAGTTACTATAGGCTAAATGAAGTGTTCCTGGGTTTGTTATTCTCTGGATTCAAATCCTAGAGTTGGTAGAATTTCTAGAAAGAAGACAAAGGCCATATATCTTCAGTAACTACACTAGATAGTTAAAAAATTTAAGAAGACTCTTAAATGGTTAAATCTTTGAATCAGTTATTCAGAATTCACAACTTACACTTTTTGTGTTCTATTGAATTAATTAAACACCTTCAAGGGCATATTTCTTTAGTTTCTATTGATAGCGCATATAGCTGATTGTTGTGCTGTGGGCACTGACACTTTATAAATACTTGATAAAAATCCACCTGCTTTCTTTCTTGCAGCCATATAATCAAAGTTCTATTTATATTTCTTTGCTTAGTTTAATGCTTGTGCTCCATTTTGTCATGCATTTGGTTAACATCGCTTTCACTTGGAATCACTTACCCTTATCAGGAACTTCAGTTTACTGAAACGAACCACCCCGTGGAAGGTGCATACCAGCAGTGAAATTGCAGTGTAGCCATCACGGAGACAGACGGTTGCTGAGGCAGCTGCATTTTCACCCTGACATTTCTGCTTTGGTTGAACTGCCATTGTGCTTCATGTATACATTTAGTTGATTTTTTTTTTTTTATTAGTTGGAGGCTAATTACTTTACATCATTACAGTAGTTTTTGTTATACATTGAAATGAATTAGCCATGGATTTACATGTAAAAGTAACCAATGGCACAGCATACAAGATTCATAAACCTAAAGATCCATGACTTAAAGACATGTGCCTGTGAATACAAAATTAGGTAGGAATGTGAATATTTAGAATCAGGTAATAATTCATAACAAATTATGAAGTTAATAAGCTAACAGTGCAAACATCACAAAATCAGAAAAGCAGTATATTTTTATTAATAGAACACCATGCCATCTCTCTAATATCTTGGTCACTGTATATGTTGGCACAAAATGCTTTGATTATCTCTTTACCTTTAAATATAAAAATTATTTTGAAACATCCTTCTGCGGAGAAAATACAATCATAATACAGCTTTTTCTTTAAGATGTCTGACTGACATTTATTTTTTACTGACATCTAGAAAAGCTTATTTGGGCATCTCATCTTGTTATCAGTAGTGGTATGTAAACTTTTTTAGAATTATCAAATTTTGAAACACCTCTACCATATTTCTTGAATGCATGAACCATAAGGTTTCACGACATTAAAATTTGCTTGTACAATGACTAATCTTAATACTCTTTAAATTGATGAACCACATCACCAGTGACTTGTAATTGTTTGTTCTATGATGAATTTTATCTTCATAATCTTTATTTGTGTCAAATTAAAAAATGGAAATATGCCAAGTGTTTGTAAGATTCACTCTTTTTTATTAATTGAATTATCAAATAAGAACCAGTCTGTTACTTCTATCCACCATTTTCCTCCTGGTGAATGCTTTGGATGTGGTCTGAAAATTATTTTAGTACAAAAGTACATCAGAATAATTTATATTGATTTAATGTTCATTTCATATTTAATTTTTAAGGTCTTCCATTCTTAAATAAAGATATAAAAAGTACCTTTCTTATATGATCAAAGCAAAGAGGTTTAGTTTCTCACTTGTTTTAATGATACCTTCAAAACAACTTTCCATGTACTGTTAAATGATATGCTCAAACTACATCAACTTATGAAACAAAAGTTCTGTGAATCTTTGAAAATACATTTCTGCATACTTCTTGTGCTGTGGTGCCCATGTGACAAGGCTTAAGGAGCTTTACAAAAGGCAGCATTCCCCCTTACACACATACCCAGAGCTGCAGGGCACACTTATATTGCAATTTGCTTTCAGGCCCTGCATCTTTATGCTGTGATGCTGGGCTAGTCAGTATGTGGAGGTGTTGGGGATTTCCTTGATGGCATTGCTGCACTTGGAATAACTAGCAAAAGCTGAACTGTAATGGAAATTGACTGCAAAACACATAAATATATCCCACTGTTAACTAACAAAATTAATCTCTAACTCAAGTACCTCCTCAGCTGGAGCCCCCAAATAACTACAGCCACCCCAACTCCATGCAACATATAGTGAAGTGTAATGTAGGAAGTTGGAATACAAAGAGACAGTTCTCTTAACCAGTTGCTGTTAAAAGATCTTACTTTTGTATAATCTTCAAAAATATATGACCATGTGAACATATTGCTAGGGTCCTTCCCAGGCCGAGGCCTTGATGTCCGTGAACAAATGAATGACCTTGAGCCTTTAGCTTTATTGGCTTCATGGTACATTTATCTCTGTTCTTTATTCTGCAGGGAAGTATCAGAAGCAAAGACCATGAAGACATTGATGATGAACTAGTAGCTGAGTATGTGCTGTTAATTCAAAGAATCCGGAAATGCCCTGAAATCTTATACTTAAGACAAGTTTCTCAAATTATGTTAATAATCTGTAAAAATAGAATTCCCTGACACTAAAAGCTTCAATAAGCTTTCTTAAACTATAAATTAGAGATAATTTTTTCCACAGTCAACCAGGCTGAACTCTTCTTGAAATTGTCCAAGAGGAGACTGGGTTTTGTGGTCCATTCCTTTATTGATGCTTCAGTTTCTTTATGAATTTCCTACTACCAGGACCATGCTGTTTGTCTCCAGTTTCTCTCTTCTGCTTCAGCTAGGCTAGACCTGTTTTCTTGGTAATGACAGATATGAAAAATCAAAAAAGCACAAGCACTTGAAAATATAGGGAAACTGCTGTGTCACTTTAGCGTTCTATGAACAGTCATGCCCTCTCTAAATCACGCCACATAACCAAACCTAGAATCAGAGAGGGAGTGACCTAAGAAGTTACTTGGTGAAAAATGTGGGTACAGTGAAAAATGAGGAATTTGCACAATTCTTTTTAATCAGTTTATCCCAGTGTCCAAAACTGAACCCTTGATTTTCTTGACCAACATACTTGCTATTATCTGAGTGTCGATATCTTCTACAAAATGGCTGTGTTGACATTATAACCTCCAAAGATGATGGTGTTAGTGGGTGGGGTCTTGAGGTAGTGTTTAGGTCATATGGTTGGAAGCCTCAAGAATGGAGTTAGTGTACTTAGGAGAGATCCCACTGAGCTCCCTAGCCCCTCCACCACATGAGGATACAGCCTAGAGGAGAGCCTTCACCAGTTACACTGCTGCCCTCCCGTTCTCAGACTTCCAGCCTCCAGAACTGTGAGAAGTAAATTTCTGCTGCTTATAAGCTGCCCAGTTTGTGACACTTTGTTATTGCAACCCAAAGGGACAAAGTGAAGCTGCTCAGTCGTGTCCGACTCTCTGCGACCCCATGGACCTTGCTCCTCCGTCCATGAGATTTTCCAGGCTAGAGTACTGGAGTGGGTTGCCAGGACAAAGGCACCATGTAAATATGCTCCTCTCCAGCTGTTCCCCAGGTAGACTGCTGTCCACCCTGCTTGACTGCTACCCACCCCGCTTCTCTTGCACCGCAGCCAACCCATCAAATTGTCATCAATACTTTGAAAGTATATCTAGAGTCAGACCACTTCTCACTGCCCATACCACTGCCAGCGTAAGTGCAAGCTGCTGTCATCCTTTACCTGTGCTACCTAACCAGCCCCTTAACTAATATTCCTGCTTTCCTATAATGTTTCCCCAAACCTAGGAAGAGTTGTAAAATGAAAATCAAAATGCCACCTTCTACTTGAAGCTCTCCAGGGGCTTCCCCATCAGATTTATAATAAAACCCCAAATCTTTACCATACCATTAGGCCATCCACAGTCTGATCACTAGCTGCTTGCACTATCTTATATTTATACCGTTCTTTTCTTTGGACTCCATTATGGTCACGGGCCCTTCAGCACTCTAAAAACCGTCATGACCTCAGGACATCTGCAGATGCCATCTTCATATCCTGCGATACTGTTGCTCCTACTGTCTGTAATGCTCATTTTCTTCATTCAAGTTTCTCCTCAAGTGCTGTCTCTTAGGAGTCTTTCTTGATCTCTTTTTCCAGTAGCTTCCTTTCACTCTCATGCTTGCCCAACTTTATTTTTCTTCATAGCATGTGTTTCTCCTGGATATTACAGGCATACCTCAGGGATATTGTGTGTTCAGTTCTAGACATTGCAGTAAAAATGTGTCACAATGAAGAAAGTCACAGGAAACGTTTGGGTTCCCAGTACATGTAAAAGTTATGTTTATACTATACAGAGTCTATTAAATGTGCAATAGCAAAGATTCAAATGTAAGGTCAGAAACTGTAAACCTCTTAGAGGAAAATATAAACAGAATACTCTTTGACCTACATCATAACAAGATCCTCTCTGACCCACCTACTAGAGAAATGGAAATGAAAACAGAAGTCAAGTCAATGTGTGGCAAAACCAATACAAAATTGCAAAGTAAAATAAATAAATTAATTAAAGAAAAAAATAAACAAATGTGACCTAATTAAACTTAAAGTTTTTGCACAACAAAGGAAATAATAAATAAGATTAAAAGACAACCCTCAAAATGAGAGAAAATAATTGCAAATGAAACAACTGGCAAAGAAGTAATCTCAAAAATATGCAAGTAGCTCATGCTGCTCAAAACAAGGAAGAAAAACAACCCTATCAAAAGCTGGGTGGAACACCTGAATAGATATTTCTCCAAAGAAGACATACAGATGGCCAACAAACATGTGAAATTATTCTCATCATCGTTCATTATTAGAGAAATGAAAGTAAAAACTACCATGAGGTATCACCTCACACTGGTCAGAAAGACCATCATATAAAAATCTACAAACAATAAATGCTGGAGAGGATGTGGAAAAATGAGAACCATGTTATACTGTTGGTGGGAATGTAAATTGATACAGTCATTATGGAGAACTGTATGGAGATCCCTTAGAAAATTAGGAATAAAACTGCCATATGACCCAACAATCCCACTACTGGGCATATGCCCTGGGAAAACCATAACTGAAAAAGACACATGTACCCTAGTGTTCTTTGCAGCACATTTTACAATAGCTAGGATATGGAAGCAACCTAAGTGTCTATTGACAGATAAATGGATACACAAATTTTGGTACATATATAAATGGAATATTCAGTTCAGTTCAGTTCACTCACTCAGTTGTGTCCAACTGTTTGTGACCCCATGAACCGCAACATGCCAGGCCTCCCTGTCCGTCACCAACTCCTGGAGTCTACTCAAACTCATGTCCATTGAGTAGGTGATGCCATCCAACCATCTCATCCTCTGTCGTCCCCTTCTCCTCCTGCCCTCAATCTTTCCCAGCATCAGGGTCTTTTCAAATGAGTCAG